ATCACCAACCAAACCCAATGGGTTTCCTCCATCTAGAAGGAACCCAACATTTATGAGGTTCACACGCAGTAACTAAAGTTGGAACAACTATATACGATGGGATATGTCTATTTTTTATATATGTATTTGGTTAACAATCATTTATTCAACCTGAAAATTTTAATTTATTTATTTAGAAAAAAAATTTCAGAAAGCTGAACCCAATTTATAATAATTTAATGTTTGTTTAGATTTTAATAATTTTTATCATCAAATATTTTAAAATTTTCAAAATCAAATTATAACAATCACAGAAAATTAGAGGAGATAAAAACAAGAGAGAACAACAATCAATCCATAAAAGATGAAGGCAAAAATATTTTATTAATAAATAATGTTGTATTAATAAAACGAAACAACAATAGTTAAAAACTAAAAAAAAAAAGAATAAACAAAGATCCTTTGAACAAATTGATCCGTATATTTGGATGGAAAAAATAATACTAAAACTACTAGTTGCATACTCGCGCAAACGCGAGGCCGCCAGAATTATTGTATTTGCGTATAGTTTTTTGTCATTATTGGTTTAGTGGATTTTTCAAGTGACACCAAATAATAATGCAATGGAAAAAATGTAGTAACAGTGTAAAGTGAAAATATTGTATATATAATCTTTTAAATATTATTTATGTGCGAAATAAGGTTTATAGGAATAGTTAGACTATAATATAGTTTTAGCATGTAAAAGTAGATGTCTATTTTTTTTTTTACTGTAAATAGTTTTTATATAGTAGGTCAAAATAGTTTAATTAAGTTAATATTTGTTGTTTAGGTTTCATTAGATATGTTTATATATATGATTTTTTGTAAGTTTGAGTTTTGTTCATAAATGATGTGGCATTTTTATCTACGGTGTCATCGACTGTGGGAATCCATTCGGTGGTGAGGAATATTTTCAATGAAATTATAGTAGTTATTAAAATGTAAGAGAAATTACATATTCATTTAATAAATAAGGAAAAATATTTAAATTTTGTTGTTTTTTATTTTATTTCGCATACAATTTTTTAGAAAATATATTAGGAAATATGTGCAATGATTTATTTTTTGAGCTCCTAACTTATATTATTCAAACCTGCTTAAGCCATCCACGTAGGCAGCCGCGTGGGACTCACTTTTTTTTTTTTTTTTTGATATGTTCATTTTTGGATCAATTTTTGATTATTTTGGGTTGAGTTATATTATAATAGGACAGTTTTAAGGCTTCTTAAGCCATCAGCGTAGGCAACCGCGTGGGATTCACATTTTTTTTTGTTTTTTGGATTGTTCATTTTTGAATTTATTTTTAACTGTTTTTGGGTTTGAACATGTTAAGCTTTAGGGTTTATCTAACTATTTTGATCTTTAAAACAATAAACCAAAAAAATTTATAAACAAAAGGCTCATATAATAATAATCCAAAATATATGATAGTTGCGAGGTTTGAATCCACACACTTTCAAGCTTAATTAGACATTTTATATCGTTCGGCTTAAGTGTATTTCGTTATTCGTAATCATCTTACGACTATGAATTTTTTAAAAGCACACGCAAAATCCACAAAACTGCTGATGTGTCAGGATGTGGAAATTAGAAACTCTACTATTATAATATAGAAGATTATTATCCTTATCAAAAGTCAAGGAAGAAAAGGAAATAAAAGGAAAAATGTCAAAACACATAAGTAAGTCTCGAACTTACCAAGTAAGTAGGCAGAAAGGCCGAACAACTGACCACTATACTATAGAGCATTGACATGTTTTGGCGCACAAATATTTTATATTTTGAAAAATTCCATATAAATATCTTAACTAAATTTTATTAAACTTTTTAATATCCAAATTTTTCACTACCCAGTTTAGTACCTCAACTAATAATTTTGGCCACTTTAATATACAAATTTTTATAACTGTTCCCAATTTAATACCCAAACTTTGTTTATTTTAATTAACAATAGTAATAAATTTCAAACAAAATTTTAAAATCTCCAAAATATAAGAAAAAATATTTAAAATTTCTAAGTTTACTCTAAGATTTAAGAAAGAAGGTAAATAAACTCTGGAGAAAATTGAAATGTTTGAAAAAAAAATTTGAAGGAAAAAAAAATTTGAAGGAAAAAAAAATAATTTACTTTTTATTTCAGAAAACAAACTAAATTCAATATATAAAACTTAAAAAACTTACTAAAAAACTTAAGATTAGAAAAATTTAGTTAATTTCTTTTCTCTAACATATAATAAAATCAATTTTTTTGTAAAGTTTAGAAATTTTAAAAAATTTATTGGAAACTTATTCGTATTGTTAATTAAAATAAACAAAGACTGAGTATTAAAATGGGTACATTTATAAAAGTTTATGCATTAAAATGAGAAAAATAATTAATTGGGATATTAAACTGGGTAGTGTAAAAATTTAGATATTAAAAAACTTAATAAAATTTAGTTTTGATATTTATATGGAATGTTTCCTTTATATTTAATGGCGCCTAAAACTTTTATTTTATGGGCTTTAGGTCAAGGTTGGCTCTGTGTATGATTGTAACCAGGGCTGCCCCCCTCCACTTCAGAAACTTTGATTTCCCTCCATTTTCTTTTCTTGACTCTTCCTCCAGCTTCTTCTCCTTAATAGTTCTTCTTCCAGTCACTTTTTGCTGTCCCAGCTCTCTCCCGAGGGATATTACAATATTGCTATAACCCACACTGGTTTGTGATATACCGTAAAACTCTGTGGTCTCAATGTTTAACCCAAACTCCATGTTTTCTTCCTATCATGAAGTCAGAGGCTCTGCAAGAGTAATAATCATGGATGTGGTAATGTCTCCAGCTAAAGCTATGTTCCTAAAAAAAGAACTACCGAGTAAAAAAAACTTTTCTCTCCCAAGCGCTAATATCGATAAAACTTGTTCGACCATGTTTACCGACGCCGGCAGCTCCTTAGCTTGCCGGCGTCGTCTTCTTCTTTCTTCTTTTTTCCATTCCTCTGCTTGTCTTTCTCTGTTCTCTCCTCTTTTTTTCCAGAATTTTCTCATCTTTTTAGGTTTTTTAGTTTCCTCCTTCGTCACTCTGTTCGTACAAGGTTACAGGAGCCATCTCAAGGTCACTTGGTTCCTGTTCGCTATCTGCAGCCCTCATCCATCTCTCTTATCACCACTCGCCAGATCTATGAAGCTCGGCGGCTCGAAGCACCACCTCCGTTTCAATCCGGTGAAGAAACTCCCGGTTGAAGATCTACAAACATCACTTATCCTTAGACCTCCTGGTTCTTGCTCTTTCATTCTCAGCTTGATTGAATCTGATGATAAGCGGTCTGGTATGGAATCAGTCAGAACTACAAGGATCCGACACGGTAATGTTAGAGTCCAAAGTTTCTGCTCAGATTCATGTATCGTTGACTCTTCAAATCTCGTCAAGCTCATACAACAGGTCACCACTGCTCGCTCCCACTGTTCGTTGTCCTCGTCGCCCTATAATTCTCGCTTAAATGGCAGTGGCGTCAGCTCTCCAACACATCGAACTGTGTCACTAGCAGATAGGAATCCGGTCCCGAGGCCTCTCTTCAGTGGCGGATACTGTCCAGTCAACCACCACAGCTTCATCATCAACGGCATCCTCCCTCCGTCAATCGTCCAACGGCGCCGCCAAGCAACAGAATCATCAGGTGTTGCCCTAATCTGCTTTTGTTTGGGCCAGACCCATAGTTTCGAAGGCCCAACAGAAAAATTGGCCCAACTTACATGGCCCACTACGCCTACTACTTCAGAGCCCATTAGCTGCATCAATTCAAAATCCAATACTTGCAGATTATTATGGCTTGGCGGCCAGCACCACTTTAAGAAGGTACAACACTTCAGAATTTATCTAGTACTTCTTCATTCAATTATCAACGGTTCACCTAGCCGTCCTCCTACGCCATTGCCGCATTTCATGTTTACCGAGCTTGGAACTACCACAATGAGTATCTCTGTCCAATGGGAAATGGCAATTCATGTCAAGCCCAACCAGTTTTTTAGAACCGGAGTTCATGGCTCGGCTTTTTCGGACCAAGGCATTATAAAGGAGCTTTCTTCTTACACTGTAGCACTTGGTCTCCTACCACTGCTTTCACCATATGAGCATCATATCTTGACTTTGCCATCAAGCGAAGGCCGCTTACCATCAGAGACGGTTGCATACCGCTCTCAAACCCATTCAGTTGGGTATTTCAACGTCGACTCCGACTATAATTGGTTGTTTAAAACAACAGTTGTAGGGTTCAAAGTGAAGCTTCTCTACGAGTTTTTTCACTCCTTCAACAACTTTATCTTTTACCTTGTTGTATTATCTTGCTTTCATCGTCTTTCCGTTGAGTTTACCTCCGGATGTAATGGTTTAAGCCTGTAGGGTTTGGATTTTAATTTTAATGAAGTATGTGTTACAAAAAAAAAAAAGGTAATGTCTCCAGCTTGCAAACGCCAATATCACCATGGTCTTCATTATTTATTACTTTCTAAAACCCCCCACCCAAACCCCTAAAGTTCATTTCATCTGTATACCAAAACCCCTTGCGATAGTAATAAAAGAAAAAATTAATAGTACCTACCTCCATAGTTCTACTACTACCGACACATGCTTTTCACTACGGCCCATACACCTGTCATTGTAAAAGGATTACAATCTCATATTAATACTGAAAATATTATTTTTTGCTATAGTGTCCCCTAGTGTAAATTTTGTCGTCGGTTACAGTAAATTACAAAAACAATAAAAATCGATGTTAGTTATATAGCTAAATATCATAATATCGTATAACTTTTTGTTACTTGCTTGGCAGATATTGCAGAAGCAATCTAAATGATTTAATTAATAGTAACAATTAACAGTTATTTATTATTTAACCTTTATCATGTCAAATCAAAATACTTTTTCACGATGTAAGTAAAAATTAATTTTTAAAAACATATAAAATCAAGTAAATGCGTCTCGTCTCTTTTACGATAAGAGTCTTTTTGTTTTCTTTTACAAGCTCAGAAGAGAGAGAGAGCCACTGCATGTTCATCTGTTCAATCTCACTTTCTCCTTAAACCCATAAAACAAAATGTCTCTCAAATAATTTTTTTTTTTCAAATTTTTGTTCACAAAGTAACAAAATTGATTGAGATGAAGTCGAATAATCAAAAAGATTCATCAGAGAAATTAATGTTGGATCGGATATTATCTGGATCGGGTTCACCGACCCGACCCGGATCGAAACTCATGGTCTTGCTCCTCCTCCTCGTCTCAGCAACTTACGTCGTCTACACTCTTCAGCTCATCTCCAACTCACGTGCCTGTCACGTTGAGCCTTTCTCCGCCGTTGTTCGCCGCTTGAACGATATAGTGAACTCACCTCAGCCGTTGATTCTCTTCCAGACAAATCAATCAACAGTAATCGAATCTCACAACTCTTCACCACCTCCTCCTCCTCCGCCGGAAACAGAGCTCCAGCACGTGGTTTTCGGAATCGCCGCGTCGGCGAGGCTATGGAAACAGAGGAAAGAGTATATCAAGATCTGGTACAAACCAGACAGAATGCGTGGTTATGTCTGGTTAGAGAAGCCGGTTAAGAAACTCGTCGAAGATAACGAGACTAACCTCCCGCCGGTGAGAATCTCCGCCGACACCTCGAAGTTTCCGTATAAAAACAAACAGGGACACAGATCGGCGATTCGAATCTCGAGGATCGTGACGGAGACGCTCAAGCTAGGACTCAAAGACGTGAGGTGGTTCGTGATGGGAGACGACGATACAGTCTTCGTCGCCGAGAATCTGATCAGAGTGTTGAGGAAATACGATCATAATCAGATGTATTACATCGGAAGTTTGTCGGAAAGTCATCTTCAGAACATTTACTTCTCTTACGGAATGGCTTATGGGGGTGGAGGATTCGCTGTGAGTTATCCTTTGGCGGTGGCGCTGAGCAAAATGCAGGATCGTTGCATAAAAAGATATCCGGCGTTGTACGGTTCAGATGATCGGATGCAAGCTTGCATGGCTGAACTCGGTGTTCCACTCACTAAAGAACTCGGATTTCACCAGGTCAGTAATTAATCTCTTTAATTCCTTTTAATAGGGGATATTACGCTAGACTATTATGAATCTAGCTAAGTTGTTAGTTAAGCAGCAGTTAAATTAACTCCAAAACATGTTTAAATCATAAATAATATTTTTAATAATTTTCTTACTCTTTAAAAATATTTAAATATACATTTCTATTATTAGTGTCATTAAATTATAAGCATACCCAAAAAAGCGTCATTTATTTTATATTTGAAGTAGACGCTTAAGTATATTACCATTAATTAATTTGAATACTAAATTTTGCTTTGATAATTACCATTCATACGATTAATGAGTAGGTAATTTAAACTTCAACTACAGCAATCTACTGATCATCACCATTTAATAGGAAGCGTTAAAGTGTTAATAATGTGTAGTTAATGAATTCATTGCTTTACAAAAAAAAATCAATCATAATCAAGTGCCACATCAGTGGACCCAATTTTGTCCATACGCTATTATTACCGGAGTAAGTTACACGTCATCACGGTGTCGGGCCGTTTCACTAAAGAGCTGTCAGGCATTTAAGGCGCGTGCATCTCACGTGACACTTTCATTGATTGTTGGTTATGCGGTTCATTGGCTACATAACCAATCGTTGGTTAAGTAACTACGTAATTAATTATTCTTCAATAGTGAAACCATTAGGTTTTATTTGATTATTATGTCTGTTTGTGTTTTTCAGTACGATGTGTATGGCAATCTATTCGGTCTACTAGCGGCGCACCCGGTGGCTCCATTGGTAACACTTCACCATCTCGATGTGGTCGAACCGATATTTCCAAACATGACTCGTGTAGATGCCTTGAAGCGTCTACAAGGGCCGGCATTGCTAGACTCTGCCGGACTTATGCAACAGTCGATATGCTACGACAAACGTCGGAAGTGGACCGTCTCAGTCTCTTGGGGATATGCGGTTCAGATCTTCCGCGGAGTCTTTTCCGCTAGAGAGATGGAAATGCCTTCAAGAACCTTCTTAAATTGGTAATCGATATTAATTTTAATTTACGCTAGAATATTCACGTAGTAGCATGGTCTCTTTGGCTTTATGGTCAAAGACATAAACTAGTTACATTACTCAAACCATAAATCTAGATACATTCATTTGACATTGTTTTTGGCAGGTATCGACGGGCGGATTACACGGCCTACGCTTTTAATACACGACCGGTGAGTCGTCATCCGTGCCAGAAACCGTTTGTGTTCTATATGACAGCGACGGGAGTTCATCCGATAACAAATATGACGGTCAGCCGTTACGAAAGCCACCGTGTCGCTCAGCCGGAGTGTCGGTGGAAGATGGCTAATCCTGGCGATCTTAGGACGGTCATTGTATATAAGAAATCGGACCCTCACCTTTGGGACAGAGTAAGTCAACATCTGTTAGCCAACATCTGTTACGCAGTCATACTATTATTAATGCTTGATATAATAGTATACTATTAATATATGCTTGATATAATAGCATACTATTAATGCTTCATATAATAGCATACGATTAATGTTTTGTTTTCTTTAACAAAGTATATTATATGGTTTTATATTTGCAGTCTCCGAGAAGAAATTGTTGCAGGGTGAAATCAAAGAAGAATAATACTTTAGAGATTAGTGTTGCAGTTTGCAAGGAAGGTGAAGTGGTTGAAGTTATGTAATAATGTTTCATGTTTAAGAACTTAAATTTTGCTCTCATTCAGTTATACATATTATTAGTTGATTACCTATTAATTAAATTGGTTTGAATTTGCAAGTAATTAAATTCATGACTTGTTACTTGTCTCGACCATGAAAAGTACTTGCGTGTGCTGGACAAATACGAGACGGGTAACAAGTACAAGCTGGTAACGGGTATTTGTGCTCAACCTTACAAACCATTGTTATTTGTCTTTTTTTCTTTTTTTTTTTTTTTTTGTCAAAAATTTGTTATTTGTCTTTACAATATCATTTAGACACAATAACACTCTAATTCAAGATTA